TCTGATACTGTTAACTTCTGTGTCACAAGAACCACTCGTGTTCATCAAGCTCCAGTTCGGTTTTCTGTCCTTCCTACTTCACCTGGGAGGTTATTACAGAATCTCATTTTTAGTAACCTCTTAATTGCAAACCTAATCCGTTAATGACCAGTCTATTACCATTTGGCTTTTCTCAAGTTGACTGCAGAATAACTGTTAGCTTCTAGTGTAATTAGCAAATCCAAATCTTTCTCCACCTAGCTCCTTCTCACCTCATGCCATATTGGCTTCTAGGGATCGACAATACCCACTAAAGGCAGAAGTCCTCAACTATTAAGTGTTTAGTCTACTGTTATTATTCCTGTCCTCACACTCCCTTTATGGGTAGAACTGAACAGCGTATCTATACGGTCAATGCTGCCTATTTTTATGTAATTACGTCATCAGCCATTTCCAGCCTTCTACACTGAATGCATTAATGAAAGTATTAATGAAAATCAGTCCTGAGCTAATCTGTGAGGATTTCCGCCAATAACCGTCTACTAAGCTGGCAGAATCTGTGCCATCTCCCTGGTCCCTGCCCATCTTCCTACCAGCTTCATTAAAGAATGAAAGGAAGGTGTTACCTATGTTTGTTATCCCAGCAATTCACTCCTGCCACAGCAGTTTAGTAGATGAAATCTGAAAAAAAAATTAAGTTAACCTACTCTATGCAGATATTCTGTAGTGCATCCAGTACCTAAGGGGCCTACAAGACAGCTGGAGAGGGACACTTTGTCAGGGAGTACAGTGATAGGACAAGGAGTAATAGTTTTAAACTAAAAGAGGGTAAGTTTACACTAGACATTAGTAAGAAATTCTTCACTGTGAAAAGGTCACCCAGAGAAGCTGTGGATGTCCCATCCCTGGAGGTGTTCAAGGCCAGGTTGGATGGGGCTTTGGGCAACCTGGTCTAGCAGGAGGTGTCCCTGCCCATGCCAGGTAGGGTTGAACTAAACAATCTTTAAGGTCCCTTCTAAACCAAACAGTTCTATGATTGTATTAAAAAAAAAAAAAAAAATCCAGATTCCAGCCTCAGAAAAAATACAAATACAGTACCCTATACTCAGCTTCAGAAATACAGAGATAAGTATAGGTCTCCATACACATTCAATCAAATCATTACCTACAATGTTTTCAAAAATTGTGGGGAATTACTCCCTTTCAATTGTCTAAACAATTACTGGTACTTATTAGTTCTATATTTGACAGAACTGGTTTAACACATACTCAGAAAAAATACACAGCTTTTTCTTGATCATCACAATAGTGTCATCAGCCTATCAAAAATATTGTCATAAATAACTCCACACCACAAAGAAACATGATCCTTTAAACGTTGAATCAATGTGTTTGCTAGGGAGGTGTGTGTCAAGTCAAGTCATCTCAACATACAACTGATCTGTCAGTGGGAAGCAAACAAGAAAACAGTCTTACCTTTGAAATACCAGCTAATACAGCTCCGCAGGCCAAGTTTTTCCTCCAGCATACACCCCTTACATGGCTGTTGCTGGCATCATAGAGCTGCTCTAGCAAATGGCCTGGTCTACAGCTCTCAGCAAGGGTGTATGCTTGTCATGCAACAAGGGATCAGGGACCACGCAGCTCCTCCCAACAAGGCCGTAAAAACTTGCCACTTCTTTTCCTTCTTGTTTGCAAGGCCACATACAACTCCTTTCTCTCCCTCTGGGCAACTGAACTGTGTTGTGATAGCAACTGGTCATTCAGCCCCAGATCCTCCATAACAGCTACTGCATGCAGGCTCCTGACTCCTTTGTCTCAGGGGAGCTCAAGTAAAACTGCTCCGTTAGGGGAAATTCCCTCCCTGGCAATAAAAATCTCCTCCCTCAAGAAAAAGAATGTCCCCCCTACACAGTTTGCCTGGAGGCAAAAATAAGCAACCTATTTTTTCCAGTCTTATCCCTTTCTTTCCAAGAAAAGATTAAGGCAGCCAAACAGCTCCTGCTGCGCCTCCACAGGAAAGAGGGAAAGCAACTGCTAGAGGAAAAAAAGTATGGAAAGAAGTGGTAGCACTGACCTCTAGGCTTGAGGGCAGTGTGGAAAGAAAGGTATCACAGAGTGGGAGGGAAGTGGCAGAAGAAAAACACTATGCATATGTGCACGCACACATGCAGATGCAGATTTACCAGGGACTAGTGAGGAGGCGTTAGCTTCCCTATCAGCACTAGTTTGTGTAGCATGAGTTCCTGCATCTTGTGGTACAGCCACAGCAATATGGCTCAGCTGCTCCCACCCCATTCAGCAAAGGGCATTACCTGTCCTGAACAAATGCATTGGCCTCTACATGTACATAACACAAAAGGACCTTTTTTTAATAATAAGAGATGATATTACACATGCTATTTTCAGTTAACATGAAAAACTGTTCATAAGCTGACATGAAAGAAGACGATCTGATCTTAGATTTGTTCCACATCTGCAATTCCTAGAGACCTGTGTGTGCAGATGGACTTTAAAGCTGCAAACCTGATTTCTCTGAAGAAAATAAAAGTAATTAGAAAAATCCTATATTCTTTGCACTTACAAGGGCAACTCCCCTTATACCAGATACTGCTCTTTCAGCAGATCTTTGTGGGTGGAGATTTCATATCAGCATGTCTGCCAATTCCTGCCAGAGTTTCATCCAAGCCACAACATACAGAGTCAACATTAATTAGCATTAATTATTATTTATAAGAAGCAATATTATCTCCATTACTATCATTCACACTTATTTTTAAGTCTTGTATAGGGCTCACACATGGTACAACACTGCCCAAACAGACAGAGGAAGGTCCCATGGAGTTTGCAGAGTAATTCACAATATAGCCATCCTTAAACTGTTTTGAATATATCATTGTAAAACTTCCAGAATCCTTTTCTGTGCTCCTATGAACTTGCCTTCTATTTTCTGCATATAATCAGGTTAATATTTTCTCTTCTTTTTCGCAGTCTGGGAGGAAAAAAAATATGCCTGTAGATCTCAGAGTGGTTTCTTTCCATTCAGAAAAACAGAAGAGAACCAACACAAGTATACCATCCCCCCAGAACACTTGGAACCATCAAAATATAGCGCTTCCAGTACAGAACTCTCAAGCGAGCCATTTGTACTTTACTAAAGAGTATTAGTTTCATGTGACTGGGGAAAACATGCTGAATGCATTTATGTAGGCTTTGATCCTCTGTTCTTTTCATTGGTGCAAGCAGAACCTCTCAGCCACCTTTTTACTCTGGTTTGAACCTTATCTCCAAATCCAGAATCCTATGCTATGAACCAGATTTTTGCGTTAGGCAGTGGGACAGATTTTGCTTGGTGGCCATAAAACTAAGAAAACTTGCAAATATTACAAAAATCAATTCAAAATAGCTAATTAGTCCAGATGTCTGCTAATGGTAGTACTAAAGCTATTAGCATTGTTGATAATAACTGTTCATAAATAATCGTTTGCACAAATTAAAATTGGCTGGAAGAACTTGCGAGTATTAGCGAATCCTATAATAAGCAAGGTGCATATTCTCTTTTTAATGAGTTTTGCCTCACTTCCAGTTTAAATAACGTTTTTCACCACTTTGTTTCTTGCTTATTTTGTTGCTTGATGCAATACACAATAACATAGACACTGAGATTAGTTCAGTGAATCCAATTTAAAAGGGCACTTTCACATAGGCCAAGGTTAATGAAACCACTTGAATAAGTTAAAGTGAATTCCCTTGGTCAATCCAAACTTGTTGGAGAAACTAGTAATAATCAGCTAGAACTGCTGAGTCAAAGTTATGAATGAGATGGAAACACTAAGCACGTTTCATGTGCTCCCATCACTTGTATCCTATTTGTGACTGTTGCAATCACAAATTATGCATAGCTCTGAAATACTGCATACTTTGACCAACATGTATTGCAACAGGTTACTGTGGAGTCACAACATGTTGTGTCATACTGCATACACCTTTCAGTATGAAGTATGGCCTACACAGAGTAGGAAAACACTGGATTACCATTTGCTTCTAAAAGCCCATTTCAATCTGAAAACCTCTGTGAACAGTTTGAGTTCTATAGATATTTGCTTTGCCACAAGATCAGACTAAACTTATTTCAACCCTCAGGTACATAAGAAAAACAACTTTAAAACTAGGTATTGTTGGTATATTTATCACTTCCCCTATTATTTATATATGCATTAGATTAATTTATTCCATATATTATCTAATCAGAAAATAGAAACCACACAAGTTTTCTTATACCACTAGCAATCACACTCAGAAGCATTAAAAAGGGATTTTGTTTGCCAAAATAATTCCTGAATAGTTTGGGCAATAGAAAACTTGCTCACAGCTAATGAGGAATGTAACACAAGTTACTTGCAGAAATAAAGCACTGTGATTTTTTTACTCAAATTTCCAGCTCTGAAATATCGTACTCTTGGTTAGCATTATTCATACAAAAAGACTAGAGATATGCTTCCAGCATAATAAAAGCATTCTGTATGTACAATAGTTTGATCCTAATTGTATCTATAATCAGTAATTACCATGCTATTACATTTACACCATCAGTAAAGCACCTCACTGGCATAAACAGACACACCTTTTTTGGCAGTGGAGTTGCAATCACACTTGCTGGCAGTTACCTTCATCCAAAATGGTCAGAGACAGTTAAACATGAAAAACGTGTAAATTATTGTCCAGGTCATCATACAACACTTCACTGAAGTTAATAATGCCATACCATCTGATAACATATCCTATTATTCACAACCTAATTAAGTTATATATGGAAAGTTAACAGAAAAAGATAACCAACCAATGCAATCCAAGCAATGAAAAACTTGGTATGGCAAGCTTAAGCTAGTTCTGTTAAGCAACATATCAGTAACAGTGGAAACAATACTTTGGGAAAGCTTTCAGTGTCAGTAAAGACATCCTTGTTGCTACTGATTAAGCAAGGCAACTATCAGGGTACATGGAAACACATATTAACTCACCTTTTCCTGGAGCAAACACTAAAGTTCTAGCATTTCATGGAAAGATTTTACAGAACAGTCCAACATGAACCTTCTTTCTATGTGTATCACAGCAGAAAGAATATTCCATGACTGGTAACTAGACTAAGGAAGAGAACAGCAGTCCTTCAGGTGGAACATAGCACATAGCTTTTAGGCAAGAAATAAATTTTCAAGAGCAATCCCTCTCACACAACGAGTTGACTTAGCCCATTCATTAAGATGCATCTTTAGGATGAAGTTTGATTAGTAAGGAAAGTAGCTTTTCTCTTAACAATTAATTATTTGATTTAAGTAATCTCCATGAAGCAGAGTAGCTTAAATATCTGAAAGCTGGGATATATCTATTTAGCTTCTCCCTAAGAGAAGTCAGGCAGGCTAGAATTCACCTCAAATACTTTTTGAGCTCTCTAATACATCCCAGGTGATCACATCATGTATTGCAAGCACTTGTTTCAGATTGAGATGATGACAAGTCCCTGATGTGACATGTGCAGGCATTTACAATTTCAGGCAGCAGCCCTGAGAACTCAATGTCTGGAAAGGAGAATCTAAATATTTAGAAATTGTTAAAGATACAGATTTTCCTTTCAAACTCACTATTATGTCTTCAGCTCACAGATTTTATTTTTGTTTTGTCTATGAGTTTCTCTACCTTCTATTCAAAAGCTAGCCACTCTCCTTAAAGCTGTAACTTTCCTGAAGTTTTATAACCTAGCCTATAGCTTTCTCGTGACAGACTGCAAGGGTATTTTTAAAAAGAAATTCTTCAGGCCATCATCCAATCTTAAACACAAATATTCATGTAAGTTACAGCGTGTACTTGCAAAGTAAAAGAGCGAGTGCATGGACTAGAGAGCTGTCGTGTGATCATCCATGCTCTTAAACTAGGAACAAGCTCCCTGAAATGGCCTATCCCCTGTCACCTAGTGCTTTCTCACGCAACTCACAGGCATGGTTCAGGAGACAGCATGGACAAAGGACTCTTCCCTCTAGGCAGTACAGATGAGGCCACTTATTTGGAAGGAGGAGAATTTAGACATGTGGATACAAGCCCTCAGGGGCAAAACCTAGGTACTTGCCTATTTTATTTACTAGTACTAGGGTAGCCATAAAGACAGGATGGGACACTGTGGGGAACTTTTATGTATGAGATCAAGATTGTATCTGCAAGACTCACCATACTAAAACCATGATGTTTCAACTACTAATGAATACATTCATGCACAAGAGTAATTTTCTCAAATTAATTAGGATTACTCCTATGCATAAAAGTATGCCAGCGTAGGTGTTTGCAGAAGAGGTTTTGGAATGTCAGTCATCATAAAGCCATCAGTTAAAGCACACTCATAAATGCTTTTGCTTGGAAGATTGTATTAACCTTAATATAAAATACATGTTTTCTGGGTCTGATGACTCAGGAAGAACTTGCAAGTCTATACCTCAACCCATTAATCTTATATAAATAAACTTTCCCCTTGTGAAAGGGAGTCCCATAGCATTAATAATAGGAATCTTTCTCAACCATAATCAGATTCTGTAAGAATCATTTAGAAACATTTAGATTAATTATTTGTTGCGAATTATTCACTTAGCTCTGTCTGTTCAATCAAGCGGCAAGGCTCTATTTCTTTCGGCAACATGAGGTACTATAATATAAGACAGAGTTTCCACACTTAGCTCTCATATCCAACACCATTTAATTAAAGTCTCAACTGTGAGCCTGGCCAAAGTTTTGCAGGTTTGAATTCAGGCCCACTGGAGTGAAAGCCCCACTTATTAAGTTTGCTTCTTCACTTGACTCCACCTAACTTCATCAAGGGGCCAATCTTTAATGGTAATGTGTTTAAATGCCAAAGTAGGGGGGAGAGAGTACAGGGTGTGCTACTTCACAACCTGCCTTCAAAATAAACTCTGCCCATGTAACCAAGATTTACTTATATAGAACTGATGGGTATTAAAAGTAGCATGCTGGGAGGGCATTTTTCCTATAGCACTGGTATCTCTTAAAGTCTTTAATGTATGCTGAGTTTTGCATAAATTTTACATAAGTTTCTTGGCACTGACTCCATCATAGTTGGAGAAAGTCAAAACGGACTGTCTTCCAAATTTTTGTGGTCTAAATAAATCAAGTTACAAATAAGGACTCTCATAAGTGATAAGTAAACATTTCCATAGTCTGATCTACCAATGCCAAGTGCTGGAGCTTCTATTCTTGTCTGAAATGAACCCTGAAACCTGCAATTTTTTTAAATATTCCACCTTCCTGAAAATCTCTCTGTGCTTCAGTCATGCTCAGTTGCTAGTTCAGAATCTCCTTCACAGCTTGTGGAGATTTGCATTAGGAAAAAAAAATGTATTTTGCAAAGAAATTGAGATTAGAAAGAGATATCAAACTGATGTACAGCAGTCCCTTTTAGGAATTACATGATGATGTTCAACTTTCACTTTTGCATTTTCTGACTTTTTATTCAACTACAACCAAAAAAAAAAAAAAAAAATCCCTTTAATCACCCCTGGCTATGAAAGACAGGAAAAGCATACCCCAACCGAGAAAATGTAGATGAAAGACTGTTGCTTCCAAACGCACCATGGGAAATGAAAACCCAGAGAACTCCCTAGCCTGAGGAAAGCTGTAGAGGTAAGCAGTCCAAAAAAAATTCCACCAGCAGAAGCAGCCAAATCAGAGATCTTTGGGCGTCCTGAGAATTCTTTACAGGATGAGTGGAATTGCTCTGTGATGCGCTCAGTTGGAGCTACCTACTCCACCTCTCTCCACATCTCCATCTCTTCATTTCAGCTTTAGAGTGGTCCCCCTTTCCTTTTTTTTTCCTCCTCTTACCCTGTTTGTTGGCTCCCCTTCCCCATGGGCTTCCCTTTCGTTTTTCTTACAATAAAAATGAAAGTGTTCTCAAATGTCATTTCCCTCATGAAAAATTACGAAACAAAACAAAAACCCTACACCATGTTTTTAAAAGAAAATTGATCTATGTAAAAAAGAAACACAAACAAGGAGCTGTGTCACAGCAGCAATTACAAGCCCAAAGAAGTCAAGATACTGTTTGTACTAGACTCCTTATGTGCATGTGCACACACAGATATTCCCTCCTCCCAGTCCTAACTGACTTACAGGTAAGTAGCCATTGCATCAAAAGTAGATTCAGAGGTGTTTAGTAAGATCTGGTCTTAACCAAACAAATCAGGACTACTGACAGATTTACAGAGAAGGGAAGAAGATGCTGGGTGTGACAGGCCTGAAAATCACTAACAAACATAAACTGGCTCTAGTCTGTGGACTATGTTTTACTTACCAGTCTTGGGCTAACACCCAGGACTTTTCTTTCTTTGCAAAGGTATGATGTCAGGCACATGGCAGTTCTTGAGATTCTGTGTAAGCCAGCATTGCCAGAGGCTCTGTGCAGGTGTGGTTAACAGTTATTTAATGATTCTTCACAATTGCATGTATCTGTCTGAACATAAATACAGTCTGATTGTAATCTTTCTTTTCACACCATGAATTTGCCCCACTATTTCCACCCTTGCAGGATCTCAAATGCCTGATCATAGTTGTTACACAACTTGGATTCAGTGGATCATTTCAAACTATCCATAAGCATTTTGTTGTCCTGTTAGCTTGGTAAGGTGAGGAAAATGGAGGCAGTGCATTTGATACAAATGCTGCAGCTCTACACTTAATTCTGTAAATTTGGCTCCCTGGTGACTCATGGGACTCTCCTTTCCACAGGTTTATACACTGATGACAAGTATTGTTAAGTTTCTAAAAGTAAAATTATAAGAAAAAAGGCACTGGCAATTCCTGGAAAAAGCTCTCAGTCTTCCTCCTCTCCCCAGCAGCAATATGAGCCTTTATTCAGCATAAATCCTAGTAATATTCAATTAGTTAAAATAATTTTGAGTGATAGTTTGACTGTTTCTTTTCCAAAAGGTAATAGTTTTCCTAATTAGTCACTTGCTTTGATAAGGCACTGACTTTTACTCTAATCTAAATTAACAAGACTTTATCTACCTGCATCATTTAAACACACCCTACTTGCAAATCTGGTATGACTAAAAACCAAGACAAGTGTTTGGTTTCATTTTACATTTGCTTCAAAGTGCCCCACTTGGAGGTTAATTATTAAACTACTCAACTATATGTAAAAGTTCAGGGAAACAACGGGGTTAGTAGGTAGAGCAGTAGTTCAGGAATTAGGAAACCTGTGTCCTATTTCCAGCTTAGATCGTGTATATTTGGACAAGATATTTAAATTCTGTGAACCTTTCCTTACAAAGCAGAAATAGCAACACCCCCTGCACAAAGCCCTTTGACAACTTTAGGGAAGAAACTTCATGTGTGTGAGGCAACCGTATGTTTGTTCGCACCTTCAAGAGACTGAAACTCAGCTAATCCCTTAAGAACTCATCTAGGAACTTGAGATCAGATACTCAACCCATGCAACTCAGCAAAACTAATGATTTTGTCAGAGCTGTAGAGATCTTCGCAGCTGAAGAACCAGCTCCTCAAGCTTTTACTGCATTTCTCTGTCAGCTGCAAAATGGTGAAAACACACCTAATCTCTGGAACACAGTCTGGAGTTTATAAATCTCCTGCCTCCGCCATCCTGAAGTATTATAATACACGTACCCTCGGTGTAATTATGCTGCCTATCCCAGAAGCAAGCAAGCAGCAGCATGGACCAGATTTTCAAAGATACCAACGTTGTTCTGGAGTTGTCCATGGGGTGGGAGGATTAGATTCTGACAATTCAGATCTTGAAGCAGGGAAGAAAAGTGGCAAATAGCAAATGGAGTACAAAACATGTAAGAGACAACCTGGGGGCATTGCTGCCAAAGTCCACGTACCATAGAAAGGCCACTCTGCAGCCTGCTCCTGAATAGCTCCCTTAAAATGCAGTTCACTTGGTCTTGAGAAATAAAACAAAACAACAACAACAAATTTCAAAGTTTTTTACACCATCATTTATTTACATAATTCGCTACTGCTTACATAAACCATGGGATTCCACACAGAAAAAGCTTCTTAAAAACAAACAAAGAAGAAAATAAATATAAAACAACCCAGAAATAAGAATGTTGAGTATTTATTGCTATTCAACCAGAATATTATTGGCAAGATGATTCATTTGTTAATCCACGGTGCTATAAATAGTACTGTAACTTAGTTGAATGGAAACATATCCTTCATTATCTCTAGTCACTTGTTTACCCATGTAAAATATATGTGTTTTGAGTTGGCGTAGGTATATTCCAGGAAGGGCTAGCAAAGTTCAATGACTCCAACAAACATTCGAAGCCCTTTGGCTCTCAGTTAATTTTCTTGTGCTTCTCTTACTATGTTGTTCAT